CCCCAAAACCCCAAAACCCCAAAACCCCAGAATACGTAAAAATATGGAATAAAAATCTTTTATAAGTGAGCTGACAATTTTTATATAGAAGGAATTTAGTGGGTTGTACTGGGAATTACGGAGTTTTTGGGTGGAAATGAGGGTGTAGAGGCAGGATTGGGACTTTTTAATGAGGGAGGGCAGGGTGGATACTGGGCATGGAATTTGGATGTAGGTGGAGAGGATGGGTAAGGAGAGTAGTTTTGGGTGGTTAAGTAAGGCTATGGGATTTAAAAGAGTAATGACTAGAGAACTGACTGTGAACAAGAAACCTTTAGGGTGATATAAACCTATCAACTATGATAAAAAGTGCAGTAGATATAATGCAGGAATAGTGTTGCTATTCTATCATTGATTTTGAGATGACTCTACAGCAACCTGTATTTACCTACTATTTCTCCAAATATTTCTCATCTATTCTAAATCATATCCTAAGTGGATTGTGAAATACCCTTAAAAGTACACATAAAGCCTGAGGTGGCCCCATAACTCAGATCTGCTAATTCAGAGAAAGGTTTATTTCTGGAAGAAAATATTAAGCTCATTGATAGTCTTCTTGGATGCAAATTTCTCTTCCTCAATTGGAGTTCTAAAGAAAGTTATAATTTTAGGAATAGCTTACTCTATTTTGTCAATATTAGCAAAATTTGCGGTAAGCTTCGGGTCATTCCTTGCCTGCTTGCTTGCTAATTCCCCGAATTTAGATCTCTTTTTTATAATGATTCTCTTCTTCTTGATAAATTTAGAGGCTTTAGGGTCTTTTTCATGGGTCTTTGAGGTGGATTTAGCCATATTTCTACTGCTTTGGTTCGATTTTAGGTTAAGGATATCTAGGATTTATTAGAACAATTACTTTTCTTCTTTGAAAAAGTCGAGATTTTGGCTTTAGGCATGGTTCATTCAAGGGAAATAGGCTCTAGTCTTGTGCCATTACGACTTGAGCTTCTATCACAGTCGGTTAAACCATCGAATTTGAATATTCTCTTATCTAACTTGTCTTCCTCCTTTTTGTTGCAGAAGGAAGACTTCACTCTTCCGTGAAGGTGCTTGAAGGTACTTGGTGATTCAACTTCAGAGAAAGGTGACTCTTCTCTATTCGAGGAATTCTTGGAACTTAGGAAAATAGTCTTTCCTTTTAGAGATTTTATTGATCTACTACTCATCTAGAGTCTTTATGATAAATGGAAGTTATTTGCTTACACAGTTGTTTTGATCGAGGTCTTTTAAAGCCAGCTTTCTTATGTCAGTACATTGGATCCTTTTGGGTCTGTTTGGGGTTGACAATCTCTGGATTTTCTTCATGCTGTTAAACTTTAATTCCATATTTAAAATTATTAATTTAATCATGTTTTTCTTTTTAAATATTTTATTTAGCAATTTGTCAGGATTCTAGTGAAGTGGAATAGAAGACATTGTAACGAGAATCAACAGAATTGCAATCTTTCGTCCTCTCAGAGCAACAAAAATATATCAAAGTCCTTGTATCAGAGCCTGAGTACTGGTACAAAACAGTTCACACTTAGTAGGGTACTAATACACCAAATATACCTAGTCCAGATATAAAATTTCCTAAGTTCCCTTTATTTCACCATGCCGGTACATAAATAATTTTGATACTGAAGATCTGGCTTGGAACATCCAGCACTCTTACTTTACAATTTAGGTGGATCAAAAAGATCTTTCAATATTGGTGTGAAATATTGGGGTTTTGGGGTTTTGGGGTTTTGGGGTTTTGGGG